GAAGCTTGAATGCAGCTGAGGGCTAACGGTTTCCGAGGACTGCGGTTTCCAGGTAGGACGGGCCAGCTGGTGGTCAAGAGCTTGTCGACGCTTTGCGAGTACTGAGCTGGGCAAGTAGCCCCCGTGCAATCAGCATAACTGAGCAGAGAAGGGCCTTGCAGAGGAAAGGGTCCTTGGGGGACTGCGGAGACCGCCGTGGACACCAGCTGACTGGCTTCCAGGCTGGTGAGGAGCTGGGCGCTTGTGAGCAGGCATTGGCGTGAGGACTCCAGCTGTGGTGTGTCTGCCCTTCCCAGCCCGTCTCCTGTCGAGAGTGGTGCGCGCTCAGTCCAGGGATGTACATGCGGGTGGAGTCACGCACCAGCTCCTGCCTCCATCTGAAGAGGGCTCCAGGCATCAGGTCCTGGTCTTTGCTTGTTGGTAAGGATTTCCGTATTTTCCCTCAGATTAAAAATCTAACTTCAAAAAAGATGAAAATGAAACTGTCCTCTGTTCTGTTACCCCCAAGTATAGCAATTGTTTTTGCTATTTTGTATCTTCCAGCTTTTACCCTATATGCACAGCTTTTGCCCTACATGCGTGCCTTTACAGAGGATCTGTCCTTTTTTTCACCACTTAATATCTTAATGTTAATATTGTGCATGTTCTTTTGAGGTCCTCGTATTCCTTTTACTTGCTTCCATACACCTGGTTGCAGGTGTAAGAGGCTTACGTGATGGGCCACAGTTCATTCCCATTTTTTCCTTCGTCCCTCTCACTGTCCATCAGAGGGTCCTGCACTGGAGGGGCAGCGCATGGTGTTGATGGGATCGGACATATGAAGAGGGGCGTGGCTGTGCCTTCAGCAGCTTGTCTCTGGTCCATCTTTCCCGTGACCCTGCATGTGGCTGCCTGCCTGTTCTGCTTCACCTGCCATGTTGTGATTCTTTACCTACATCTTATGTTCATTCCACACCACATGCTGTTGGAGTAAAACCCTTGCTGTCGGCTGCTCTGTCTGGTTTCCCAGCAGCTCTGGAGCCTCGGGTAGAGGAACGTATTTAGGGAATCCTATGAATGGCATTTGCCCCGTTTCTGAGTGCACTTCCTGGTTGTTTCCCCCATTTCTGAGCCTGGTGGTCTTCTGTCCCCCTGCCCCCCACCCCCAGCCATCCCTGGCACCAGGGAGGGCCTGCTTGTCTGGGCCTGTGGCTCCTGGGAGGAGGGGGCTCTGGGCTCGTGGTGGCCCAATAGGAAGGCACTTGCTTTCTTTTCTCTGCAGGAATCTTGTCGATTGGTCTGGCTGCTGCGTACTACAGTGGAGGTGAGATGCATCACCCCCCCGCCCCCAGTAGCTTCCTTGGCTGTTTGGGAAATAGAAAAAAGAGAGGGAACCCACCATTTGTGGTGCTCACCGAGGCCCAGCCTTTGGGGCCACAGGCGCCTCTGCCTCTTGGCTTGCACGTGCAGCCCCAGCTCCGTGTGCTGGTGTGTCCTTCCTAATACGCTTGTCCCGTGCAGCCTGTGCTTTTCCCTTCTTGTATCTGAAGCACTTTCCTGTGTCATGACACATTCTTCAAGAAGGTGCTCTCTCGTATTTGCCTGAGGCTCTACTGCAGGCTGAGCCACACTTCCAGCCACCCCTGCAGGTTCCTCTCTCCAGTATCACAAACTGCGCCATGATCAGCAGAGCCGGGTCAGCCCTGACTCCTGTGTCCAGCAGACACTGGAGGGACAGCAGAGGGTGCACAGAGCTGGCCAAGCATTTCACACGTGGTTCTGCGTGACAGCAGTGTCAGGTGGCCGCCCTGGGCCGGGGTCAGCCAGCCCCAGATCCCACCCCTGCCCAGTGTCAGCTGGGGAGGGCCCCCCATGGCATGTTGGCCTTCACCTCTCTGCTGCTGTCCCTCACCCGGCTGCGTGCTGTGTTTGCTCTTCAGATAGTCTGGGCTGGAAGCTCTTCTATGTCACGGGCTGCCTGTTCGTGGCCGTGCAGAACCTGGAGGACTGGGAGGTAAGGCCAGCACAGGTGAGGGTGGGAGGGTGCAATGGGAATCACAGCAGGAGGAGAGGCTTTGGGGCCTCACACACTCCGCATCCGGAAACCTTAGCTTAGTGGTTTCTGGGCTGAGGAATTTTCTGAAGCTATTTTTCTCGTAGAAGCTCTTCATGACTGTTTCCACCAAAATTCTTTACTCCCTAGTGTTGCCAATAGCACAGAACAGAATGAGGGCCAGTCCGTCTCCCTTGGTGGCCAGCAGTCTCCCCTGTGCCTTGGTCCCTTTCATGAGGAACCACAGGACTCGGGTGCTCTCTGACCTCCAAACTTTGACCTCTATTCCTTTGTTTGATGACCTCAGCTGCTGTACTTCCCTTTTGCTTGGGGACAGCACCTGCTTAGACGCCCCTCTTTCTCTCTACACCCGCGGCCCTGTGCTCCCGACAGACAGGAGCCCGGGAGGGTCTGGCTGTGGGTGTTCGGCTCTGGCAGAGCTGGGTGTCTTCCTGAGTGTCCGCTCCCGCGAGTCCAGGCCCCCCTCTGGAAGTTCCACGTGTGGCTGGCGTGCACACACACAGGCCCGCAGCCGGATGATCCCCTTCTGGCTGGTTTTCCAGGAAGCTGTGTTCAACAAGAGCACTGGGCAGGTGGTTCTGCAGACATTCAGCTTGTACAGGAAGCTGCTGACTCTTTTCAGAACTGGCCACGACCAAGGTGAGGCATGCAGAGTGTACGGGACACAGGGTGCGGCAGGAGGCTGGTTATTCCAGACTGGATGGAGGGTGGTGAGTGAGACCGCAGAGACCAGGTCTGAGGCCCAGAAATGGGGTGGGTCCGAGCTGGCCGCTGGGTGACACAGGGTGACCCCGGACATTGCCTGGCAGCCTCTAGCTCAGTGGCTGGTCATGAGGCACTAGGAAGGCATTTTTCAATGGCTGGGGGAAGATGAAGCAGAAAGACGGGCAACACAGACCTTAGCCCGTCCCTGATGTGTTGCTGCTCATGGGAGCACGGGCAGGCTTTCCAAGGTGACCACGGGTGTGCTGGATGCCCCTCCTCACCCAGATGGTGCTCTCTGCACAAGCCTGTGCTGTGGCCACGGACCTGTGACGCCGTCCTCTGGAGAGTGGCCCCAGAGTGGCTGTGCCCAGCACACAGGCGGGAGGGGCAGGTGGGGGGGAGGGGACCCCTGACCGACCCCCACCCGCAGTGGTGGTCCTGCTGAATGACATCCGGGATGTGAACGTGGAGGAGGAGAAAGTCCGGTATTTCGGGAAGGGCTACGTGGTGGTGCTGCGGTTTGCGACAGGCTTCTCCCACCCCCTCACCCAGAGCGCTGTCATGGGCCACCGCAGGTAAGCTCTGGGCAGGTGACTTGATTGGCCACAGCTGGCTGCCTGTGCCCCTAACCCTCCCATCAGGTGGCCCCCACAGTGGACTTCGTGGCTGGGCCCAGGGAGAGGACTTGGAGGAACGTGGCCTGCCCCTGCTGCTAGGGGAATGTTGGGAGTCTCCACAGGGACAGAGGGGACGGGGACGAGAGTCTCCATGAGGACAGAGGGCAGGGCTGGGGTCAGGTGAGGTGGGGACCAGAACAGAAGGCACCATGTCCTAGAGGGGAGCCCTGGAGGTGGCAGAGGTGGGTGGTCCAGCAGGAGAATGGTGTGGGCAGCAGGCACGTCTGCCATGGTAACCTGCCCTTCCTCCCGGTGTCGGCCTGGCCCAGTGATGTGGAAGCCATCGCCAAGCTTATTGCCACCTTCCTGGAACTGCACCGCCTGGAGAGTCCTGTGGAGCTGTCTCAGAGCAGTGACAGCGAGGCTGATGGCCCAGGGAGCCAGAGCTGATGCCCACAGAGCCCCTGGCCTTGGTTCTGGTGGTGCCCTGGTAGGCCTGATGGGCCACTGGCAAGTCTTCTTCCAGCGCCTGGTTGTGTCTCTGGCAGTGCCCGGGTGGGACCCTCAGCCATTCCTGCTGCTTGCTTCCGCCCTCTGAGCAAAACCACAGGCTGATTTCTGCAGGCCTCAGAGCTGCCTCCTCCTGGCATCAGATGGCTGGCCCCAGCCTGGGTGGTGTGGGTGGGGCGTGAGGGCACACGTACCCCACTGCCCCACCAACTGTGTGGGGATCAGGTCTCTGAAATGGGGAGGGATGCCCAGGCTCCCGGCAGGGGGGGGGGCGGCAGGGAGGTTCGCCAGAACCAGCTCCCCCAGCATTTCAGCTCCCCAGTGAGAGCAAGGCTTTAGCAGGTGGGCCCAGGGCCAGTGGCTGGGTTAGGCTCTGAGGATGCTAGGACGACAGCCACACTCTCAAGTTGTCCGTGGGAATCCCAGTGGGTCCTGCCCCACATGCTGTAGCCCTTCTTGGGCTCAACGTCCTCAGTGGTTAGAGTGCGGTGTTTGCCCAGGGTCTGTAGGGCCCAGGGCGGACGCTGAGGGTCCCATCTGACTATGTGCACTGTAGCCACTCCCAAGGCCTCCCCAGTCCACAGACGGCACCTGTCCAGCTGGGCCTGCAGCTGGGCTTTCATGGGGTGGGGGAGGCCTCATGCAGGCCCTAGACGAGGGCAGCTCCCTTAGGAACCCAGGCAGGACGTGGGCCCAGGGCTGCTGTAGCAGCCCCCACAGAGGTGGGGGCAGCAAGGGCACCTCTGAGCGGGCACTCAGGAGCTATGCCTAGGACTGGCTGGGGAGCACTGCAGAAGAGGGTGGGTCTCTAGGGAGACCCACCCTCTTCTTAGCAGAGGTCACCAACAGCTCTAGTTTGGGGATGCAGTCATTTACACATGCCAAAGTTAGGTTTTAAAGTGGTAAAATCTGAAAGCCTTCTTTTTCTAAAATAAAGTATGAAATGTTGTAACTGGTTTTTGGTGTGGTCATCCCGACTGGAGGATGCCCTGAGTTGTGGAGGGATCTGTTTGGCTGGCTCCCCTTTGCCTTTGCTGGGCCTGCAGGGTGAGAAGTCTCGGGACCACCGTGCAGGACCCATGGGAGGAGCGAAGTCTGAGTCCCACTAGCAGGAGTTCTAGCTCCCACTCTCCTTTTTATTTCAAGCCAACAGGTTCTACATGCGGATCAGTAAGCAGGCCTCAGTGTGTGTCCTTCTTGGACATTTCCCACTCATCTTTCCCAGCGAGAAATGTCTGCACCGCGGGTGTGGCCTGTTGCAGGTGGTCCCGGGTACAGTGGGAGGCCGGACACAGCTGGACAGGGGTGCCTGGCCCCACGCCTCAGGGGTCCTGAGCTGCGAGCTGCCTGGGGCTGGCTGCCTCTCTGAGGTCCTGTAGCAAACCCTGTAGCCGCCTCAGGCTGGGCTGCACGTTCTCCTCCAGCCACTCCTCCACGGTGTCTGGGTAGAAGACGCGATGCAGGGCGGCCTCCAGCTCCCGCACCAAGGTGCTCCACCTGGCCAGGAGGCTGAGCAACACAGCCAGTGGTGAGCCCGCCTGGCGAGCACCCCTGGGTGACAGCTCACAGCCTATGCACTACACTCACATGCTGCACAACCCCACGGGTCGGTACAGTTCTATGCCTCAGTTTACCCATGCATAAAACGGGGCTATTAGTGCCCACCTCACGGGGTGGTTGGGAATAAGTGAGTTATGTTTTCACATCTGAAACTAGAATGCTTTTGATAACTGGCTGGCAGGGTTTGTCTTTAGGCGTGAACCTGCCGACATCGGACAGCATCTTTCACTCAGTGGGGACACTGCGTTGGCCTCAGCTCAGAGCTGTGAGCCAGGAGAGCAGCAGGGAGGGCTGGCTGGCCAGGATGAGCCCTGGACCCTGCCCGGGGCATTCAGTGACCCTCACCCTTTTAGGATAGGAAGGCCCTGGCTCCTCGAACGCTTACGGCACAGGTAATTCAGCAAAATTGATTCATCTAGGAATTCATGGCTGCAATACCTAGAAAGCTCGTCTTGGTTCAAAGCCGGTAGCCCCAGAGGACGTGCAGCCCTGGGGGTGGGCACTGCCAGGAAGGGGGGGGGGCAACTAACCTGAGTGCCTGGGGCTGGATGTGCTGGACCATGACCGGGTGGATGAGCTTCCGCCTGCGGTGGTAGGAGCTGAACCAGCCGGTCACGTACCTGGGGGGCAGACCCACGCACGCTGGTGGACCCTCTGCAGCTAGCAGGGCAGCCTCAGGGTGGTTTTAAAATAACACCTTTGAAAAAACTTAAAAGAGTCTGGTAGAAATTTTAAAAAGCTGGTTCCCCCCAGAAAGTCTCTGTATAGGACAGGCCACCCTCACCCTGTCCTGTTGGGGGGGGGGGGGCTCAGGCCCTGCCCACTCACCTGTCCCTCTCCAGCAGCGCGTCCACAGAGCTGCGCAGGTGGAGGCCGACATGCGTGACAAGGGCCAGGATGTCGCTGCCAGGGAAGGAGCCGGCCCCCTCACTGCACGAGAGCCGTCATGCTGAGATGGGGGTCCCAATGCGAGGGGAGAGGCAGGGCTGGGGCGGGGGGGCTTACCTTGTAAAATCAGTTATTTCTAGGTTAGAAATCCCAAGAAAGTTCTCCACTTTTGCTTTAACATCTTCGGCAAAACCTCCTGCAACCAAGCACAGATGGAGATGGTCAGCGGGGCCTCTGGAGGAGAGAGAGGCTGGGCCCTGCACCACCGCGCAGGCCTGGTGGCAGGCAAAGTGACCAAGGAGGTCAGCGTGCACGTGCCAGCCCCAAGGAGACCGCGGGGACGGGGCTGCTGATGCAACACATGAAATGGGCTCACCACGGTAAAAACGAGAAAACCAGATGCAGAGCGGCACCATCACGAGGGGCCCACCAGCCTGTGCGGCCGGCACGCCCACAGGTGTGCGGGACGCACGCAGCACCTGGCAAGCACGGTTGCTCACACGTGGACTATTCCGGAACAACGGACATGAGCCAGCGAGGCTTGCGCGGGAGCAGCTGGTGGGGCAGGAGGCCCGTCTCCACAGAGGGGAGGGCTCCGTGGCAGCGGCGCCCGCCTCCGAGGTGGGCAGTGGTAGCCAGCACCGTGTCAACAGCAGAGGCGGCCGCGGTGTCCCCGCACCTTTCCCTGAACGGTTCACAGCTAATGCTTCAGAGGGCATCACGTAGAGGGAAGGCTCAATGTCTGTCCTTGTGCCACTGTGTGCGGCCTCTAGCGGTGGGGAGCCAGGCCCCGTGCACCCCGCGTCGCCCCCGCGAGCCCAGGTCTCTGCCTGAGTGGGGGTGCCCTGGCCAGCACTGGGCAGCCAGGCATTCAGCAGAGGCCTTTTCTGCACCCACCCATGCGAACTGCTTTCATGGGCTTGCTGCGTCTGGGGGCAGCCGGGGGGTGGGCGGCTGAGCCCCGCTCCACTGGGGAGGAAGACCACAGTCCAGCTCCAAGGAGGCGCAGTGGGGCATCCGGCACCGGGCTCTGCGCCCCACCCACGCCCCGCGCCCCCACCCCCCGGGAGGAGCAGGGGCCGTACCGTTGAGCAGTGACTGCAGGCAGACGGCCAGGGACGGGATTCCCACGGGCAGCAACTCGCACAGCACGGAGAAGTGGTCGTACCTAGGTCCACGGGAGACGCCGCTCAGCTCCCGCCGCCGTGCCCACACGGCAGATGCCTGCACGCTCTCCTGGCACGCGGGACAGGCCTCGAGAAGCTCCCACAGAGTGGGCTGCTGCCTCTGGACATGTGCCACCCAGAGGCCCTGCTTGGGGCTTACTGCTCTGTGGTGGCCACCCTGACTCCGCTGTGGGAGGCCTGAGGGTCGGCAGGGCATGGGCGGGGGCCTCCAGCTGCCTCCCCCTCTGCCCTCCCAATCGCAGGCATGGACCTGTGGCTAGGACTTGGCCAGGAACAGGGCTTCACTTGCAGCTCACTTTTCAAATGGCGCGAAATCCCTAAAGAGATAAAATCTGTCTCATGCTGGCCGTACGTGAGACAAGTTATGTGTGAGGCTGCTGACAGTGCAGAGGGGACCAGGGTGTGTCGTGGCCCCAGACACCCTGAGTGGCGTCCCCTCTGCAGAGTTTGGGGGACAGCTGCGGGGGTGTTAGGTCCCCAGGCTCCTCCCCTCTTAGAGCACCAGCCCCTCCCCAGGGAGGGCTGAGGCCCAGACTGGACGGGCCAAGGAAGGTGGTCTGTCCCGGACGACCAGTGCTGTTCGGCCCCTCCTGGGCAGGTCGGCCCGAGAGCTTCCCCAGGGCCTGCGTGGCCTTACCTCTGCCAGCCGGTCAGGACGATGCCCTGCAGCATGTCCGCGGGCCCACTGGCCGCCACCTGCAGCCACTGCACGTTGTTCCTGAGGTGGTGCTCGATGGGGGTCAGGGCCTGGCTTGCCCCCGTAGCCCCCTTGAAGGCGCTGGCAGCCCACAGCCGGAGAAAACCACACTTTCGGTACTTTTCCATGAGAAGAGCTAGGCGAGAAAGTGAGTGGTGTGATGGGCCTGGGTCCGAGGAGCTGCGGCCGCCAAGCTTGGACACTGCACTTGTCCAGACCAGAAAGCAGGAGGAGCCCCCAGCTGCCAGCTCCAGTTCCGGGCAGACTGAAATCTCAGCAAGAGAAGAGACACCTGACATGTGCAGGTGACCGCTAGTCCACCTGCTCGTTAGGAAAAGAGCAGACAGAACGGGACGTCTCGCGAGTGACCCAGCGCAGGATGTGTGCCGGGTGCTCCCACGGCTGGCCGCGGCTCACTCGGGGAGGGGCCTTCGGGGAAGCGGAGGCTGTTGGCAGGATCCTGATGAACCAAGGGACCGAGGCCCCGCACGCCCCCAGCTGGGCAGTCAGGGCTCCAGGGTCTCTTGGCCGTGGCCAGGGTACTGACCTTTGCCGTGGACGTCCAGGTCGGCCCCGTAGTCCCAGAGCACGGGCTCCACCAGCCGTGGTACCCCCGATGCTGGGGGCGGGAGAGCGGCTGTGAGCCGAGAGCTGCCTGGACACAGCCCCACAGCCCCCAGTCCTGGCCTTACAACAGAGCCCGGGCTGACTTGTTCAGAGTGCCTGCGCTTTAAGTACAGACTCAACACAGCTGTGTTTTTGACGGTAAATGCTGCAACCTGACATCGGCCAACTATGACAATGACCAGACTCTGAGAGTTCTGTGAAAAGTGAGCCCCCCGGCCGGGGGTCCCAGAGCTCCCTGCAGGGGAAACGCTCTGTCTGCATGCTGCAGTGGGGGCGCCGGGACTGGGTGCAGCAGGAACACGTCGCCACTTGGATTTAACTCTAATGAATCTTACGAGAACCCAAATGGCCACACGTGGGTTGGGGCTGCCTCGAGGACACCCCAGCCTTCCAGAGGCTGGGGCAATGGCCAGACTTTGGGCTGGGGCTCTGAGTGGGCCCCAGGGTGTGTCTCTGGTCTCACCCCAGAGCCTCAGACAGGGTGAGCCCTGGGGCTGGAGGGACTGCTACTTTCCTTGACCAGCAGCCAGCGTGAGCCTCAGCCACAGCCCCTGTAGGCTGGCCACAGCGTCCTGCGAGGCCGAGGCGGCCAGGAGCACCGGACACTCAAGGCCCGGTGGGACCCTCTTACCCCCATCAGGGCCCCATGGCTACTCTCGGGTTCAGGCCTAACACTCTGCACTCCTGTAAGACTCGCAAATGCCTTCTGGGGGAATGGCAGTTTTGTGTGAGAAAGTTTGGAGAGCGGCTCTAAGGGAGTCGCCTGGACTGAGAGCTTTGGGGCAGGGGTCCCAGAGTCCGCCCCCAGCAGCTGCTCGCCTCCTCGCTCCCGGCACCAGAGGCCTGGCGGATGCACCAGCCGACCTGAGAGTTGGTCCTCGGGGATGGCCCGCAGCATGTCATCCCACACCAGGGGCCTCGTGGCAGGGTGCCGGGCCAGCACGTGGCAGGCCACCGCCTTTATGTGGGACAGACACAGTCTTGCTTTGGTGTTATGCTCCTGCTGCAGCCACTGCCTCGAGGCCTCGCCCTCTCCAAGGTAATAGACCTGGAAGGAAGCACAGGACGGTTTGGCCCCGGATCGCCCGGCCTCACCGTGGGGACGCTGGGGAGAGACCTGGCTCAGGCCGTGTCCCCCAGGATGTCAGTGGCAGCTGCCCGTGTGGAGGGGCTGGTGAAGGGGGCCCTCCTCCTTCACCGAGACCTAACTTCCACTCCAGGCTGCCTTCGAGCGTTCACAGCAGCCCAAGGGCAGAAATAACCGAGGTGTCCACCAGCCAGCAAGCAGATAAACAACGTGGGGGTGGTCTCTGCCACTGCTGGGGTGTGGACAGCATGGCCGTTTCGGGTCACAGCCCAGCCCTCGTCCGTCCCGCAGGGTGCAGCTCGCCGTGCTCAGCAACATGGCTTTGCCCGCACGAGGTCACAGGTCAGCTGGGATGGACGCCCTCACCGGGGGACGTCTCCTCGGCCAGCTCTTCTTTGTCCTTTGGCACGTGGACTATTTTTCTATGTAAGAAAATACCCCACAAGGTGGGACAAGGAGCCCTTGAAATGAGGAAGAGGGGCTGCTACGGCACTGGGAGGGACATGCCAGGTAGGCGAGGCTCAGGGGTGGAAAAGCATCGAGGGACCCACCTCGTCACAGCCGACATGGAGCCACCGGGCACCCGGGTGCAGCTCCATGACCTGGCTGATCATAGCTCCCACCAGCGCCAGGGACTCCGCCTCGTGGGGGTTCAGGGTGTTGGGGAAAAGTGCTACTTCTCGGAGGTGAGCGAGAGCCTCGTGCTTCAGCACAAACTGCGGAGAGACGGGAGGTGACACTGGGAGACAGAAGCCTGCAGCTGAACCGAGCAAGGGCTGGCTCCAGGTCACCCCAGAGGGCACTGGTGGGCCGGGCTGAGCCTGTGGCTGGCTCATGGCCCTTTCCATCCGATCTATCTGGGCCCGGGGAGAAAAGTTAAAGCCAGGCTCACATTCGGATCGAGCTGCCACCAGCTGGAATGTGAGGGGTGACCGTGGACATGAGAGCCACAGTGGTGACACACTCTCCTCACACCCCGGCTGACTGGGGACCACACACACACACACACACACACACACACACACACAGCCAAGGCAGACGGGGGACTGGCTGAACTCCCAGCATCCCCAGCCCCTGCGGCACAGGGTGGGTCCTCACGGCCCCAGCACACCACTGCCCAGACCCTGGCTGACTACCAGCCATGAAGACAGAGGGGTGGCCCCTAGGAAGCCAGGCCAAAAATACAAATACGAATAAAACACTAACAGAGGGATCAGTAGCCACACGCAGCTGGGGAGACAGACCCTGCAGACTGAATGCAGGCAATTTACAACCACCTGCAGGGGCAAAAGTCAGATTCGCGGTATTATCTGAAATATCCAATTTCCAACCAAAAATCATGAGATGTGCAAATAAACTGGAAAGTGGAACCCAGACCTAGGGCAAAAGCCAGTTGGACCCTGGTATCAGATTTATCAGATGACTACTCAAAGAAACTATTCTGAAAATGTTCCCAGAATTAAAGGAAACTATTAATAATACTGAAAAATGGGCTCCACAGCAGACCTGACATGTCAGAAGGAACAGTGATTGTGGTGGCAGACCAACAGGAATTACTCAGTCTGAACAACAGAGAGAAAAGGAGAGAACCAAGAGCCTCAGAAGCCCATGCGGTGACATCAGGCACACCTCCCCTGGTGGAGGGGAGAGAAGGGGCACAGAAGCACTTGAGGACATGGCCCAAAACTTCACAAAAGTGAAAATAATCTAGAGTTCCAAGAAGCTCAACAAAACCCAAGCAGGATAAATGGAAAGAAACTCAAACCTAGAAGTCATAACCAAACTGCTACAAGGCAAACACAAACAGGAAGTCTTGAAAAGATCAAGAAAAGAGAAGAAAAACTTAAGGAAATAATATTGTAATTAAAGGCTGACATACCATGTTCATGGATTGGAAAATCCACAGAGTAGAGCTGATTTTCCCCCAAACTGATTTACATTTAATGCAATTTCAATCAAAATCCCAACAAGGTTTCTTCTTTTTTAAAGATTTTACTTATTTGAGAGAGAGAGAGAGAGAAAACGAGCTAGCAGGGGGAGGGGCAGAGGGAGAGAATCTGAGGTAGACTCTCCACTGAGCAGGGAGCCCAACACAGGGCTCAATTCCAGGATCCTGAGATCATGACCTGAGCCAAAAGCAGATGCTTAACAGACTAGGTCACCCAGGTGCCCCAATCCCAGCAAGGTTTCTTACAGATGTAAAAACAACTGAGTCTAAAATACACATGGGGAAGCAAAGGGAGCAGAATAGACAAAAGCAACTCTGAAAAAGAAGAATAAAGTTGGAGGAATCTTATTACCTGATTTTATTTAAGATTCAGAGTAAAGCTACAATAATCAAGATAAGGTGGTACCAACAAAGGGACAGATGCATAGACCAATGGAACAGAATAGTTCAGACCCTCACAAATAAGGTCAACTGATTTTTGACAAAGGTACAAAAGCAATTCCAAATTCTAAAGAGAGGCTAATCTTTCAGTAAGTGCTGTTGGCATGACTGGCCATCTCAAGTGGTCACACAGCATATGCAAAAAACAATGAACCTCACACCTTACATAAAAATTAACTCAACATGGACCGTAAGTGGAAAGTGTATAAATGTAGAACTTTAGAAGGAAACAGGAAAAATCTTCACGACCAGGTGACTGACAGAGTTCTTAGAAATGACACCAAAAGCACAATCCATCAAAGCAAAACTGAGAAACTGGACCCATCAAAATTAGAGACTTTTGCTCTTTGAGTACACTAAGGGAATGAAAAAATAAAGCAGAGATTGGGAGCAAATAGTTGCAAATCACAGATCTAATGAAAGACTTGTATCCAGAATTTCCAAAGAACTTAAGAACTCAACAGTTCAGAAGACGAAACATGCAAAATGCTTGTACAGTTATTTCACCAAAGAGGACATCCTGATGGCAAGTAAATGCATGTTAACAGTCTTCCTCCAGAAGGAACCAACCCTGAGGACACCCGACCTTGGACATCTGGCCTCCAGAACTGTGAGAGAGCACGCTTCTGCGGGTTTAAGTGACCTGGTTGAGGTCCTTTGCTGCAGTGGCCCCAGAAAACAAACCCACTCAGAGCAGGCCCCTCGAGGAGCAGGAGTGGGGGAATGACTGGGAGAAAGGGTGGGAGTGGCACCGCTGGGGACCTTTGGGCACACAGGCTGGACGCAGAGGGTTGGTGGGTGCTGACCTAAGACAGGAGTAAGGGCAGCAGGACCACACAATGGCCCGAAGTGCAGGGGGATGAGGGTGCCAGAACAGGGCGGAGGAGCCAGGCTCTGATGGTCATGAGGACGAAGGGGAAGCAGGAGTGGACATGGCACTGTCTGGAGAGGGAGCGTCAGCTGAGGAGGTAGAACTCGAGAGGAGTCATGGGGACCGCCGCTGTGTCCGCGGGGCTAGCAGAAGCAGCACAGCCAGGGGTGGGGGGCTGGGAGGGACCAGCTGGGGCTGCAAAAAGCCCAAGTCAAGGGTGAGGGGCCAGAACGTGTCGCTACATTTAGTGACCTGGAGGGACGCTCTGTGGGCCGCAGCCTGTGGCGGTGGGAAGTGAGGAGACCAGGGAGCTCGGCAGGGAGTGCCAACCAGGAAAGCTGGGGGCCTGAGCACGGGAGACATGGCTGCGGCAGGGGAAGGGGCGCATGGCTGGACGGGAAGACAGTGCCTCTGGCGCAATCTGCGCTTGAACACCTGGGGTAGGGCAGCCCACAGGGCTAGCAGCTGTGTCCATTACAGGAAACCACGGAACCTGTAGCCATTAAATCAGTGCTGTGTTTAATCTGCTGCCCATCTTCTGATGCAGATGTGAGAAATACTTCTGAAGATCACATAGGAGCTTGGGAAAATACTTTCAGTATTAAGTGATGAATACAAGTTAAAACGAAAACAACTCGACCCTCGGGGCTCCATGGGAATTGGGCATCCCCCACTGGCTCCTTCCCTCCATTCCTTGGACAGAGGTTGCTCTGACCTAGAGCTCCGTGCTCTTCAGCCATTTGCAGGGCAAGGGCTTCTGAGAAAGAGTTGCTCCCTGCCTGTGGCTGGCCACCGCCTGTGTGCCCCCGAGCCCCACACCTGGGCACCAGGTAACTTCTGTTCCTCCCACTTACCTCCATGTGTCCAAATGTCTGCACCAATGGAATGACCTCTAGCTCGTTCAGTGTAGCCAGATGTAGGATCTCCTTGATTTCAGGGGGACTAGGAGACAAAGATCATCCAGAGGTTCACTGCAGCCCGTTCACACCAGCTCCAGTTCACTCCAGCCCGTTCACACTCCAGGAGCTGTTCACACCAGCCCCTGTTCACACTCCAGCCACTGTTCACACCAGCTCCTGTTCCCACTCCAGGCCCTGTTCCCACTCCAGCCCATTCACACCAGCTCCTATTCACACTCCAGGCCCTGTTCACACTCCAGGCCCTGTTCACACTCCAGTCCCTGTTCACACCAGCTCCTGTTCACACTCCAGCCCATTCACACCAGCTCCTGTTCACACTCCAGCCCATTCACACCAGCTCCTATTCACTCCAGCCCCTGTTCACACCACCCCCTGTTCACACTCCAGCCACTGTTCACACCAGCTCCTGTTCCCAATCCAGGCCCTGTTCCCACTCCAGCCCATTCACACCAGCTCCTGTTCACACTCCAGGCCCTGTTCCCACTCCAGCCCATTCACACCAGCTCCTGTTCACACTCCAGGCCCTGTTCACACCAGCTCCTATTCCCACTCCAGGCCCTGTTCACACTCCAGCCC